CAAAACCAGAAAAAGGAAACGATCTCCTACAGCCCATCTCCTATTTCTTCCAGGACTCCCAGTTTCTTCAGACTTTTTTGTTTTCCAACAAAAGGAAAAAACCCACTCATTCTTCTCAAGCTGAATTTACCCACCCCAGTTTTTCAACCTGCTTGCGCCGCTACATCGCAGCTGATTTATTTTCCTGCTGCCACCTGAACAGCTTACCCTGCTGCGAGAAGTTTGCTGGGTTTGCAGATAGCAATACAAGATAGCAATGCCGCTCCTGATGCTCAGCATCAGTTAAGATGACTTTAAGAAGATCAGTGAAGAAGATCAACCTGCTCCCTGGGGAATAAGGGCACTGCAGCTGCACCCGCGCTGAACTAATTGGTTAATGAGGCAGCTACACCTTTCAACAAAAGATCTAGGAAAACAATCTGGTTAATATAATACAAAAGGTTAAAAACAACAAAGCACAAGGACTGAAGGCTCTTCTCTCCTCAAATGTTGTTCCTAAAACAATACTGATCAAAGCTTGCTTTTTACCTGTTTTTGTTTTCCAGCTCTGCTATCAGCTGTCTTTGTTGTTTATTGGCATCAAAGCTGAAACCCAGGTCTGTTGGTGGGCGAGGCTGGTGGATGAGGAACAGAGAAAGATTAGACAAAATATTCATTGCCTGTTACCACATATGACACAGTTTGGAACCAGCCCCGTATCTCCTGAACGCCGCGGTGCAATACTTAGAGCCCAGGCTGCAAAACTGTGAAAACAGCTGTGCTGAGATGGACTCCGGGGGCACATCGAGATGTGGTTTTACAGCTGGCTTGGTCTGATCTCAGGGTGGGTGGCTGCTGAAAGGGTGACCTAGCTCATTGTCCTCACTATCCGTCTGAAGAATTTTATTTGCCTTTTTTTTCTAAAGACCTTCAGAAAAAAATACACCATACCTATCTGTTCCTACAGCACCGACATGCGTCCCTGGGAAGAGATGCAGCTATACCTTTTATCATAAAGTCTCCTAGTGAAACATTGACCTTCCCACATGTCAGCTAGTGAAGAAAAGTTAGAATAACTTATAGCTTATGACCAGGATTATTCACAGACATTAAATTTAAGCATGGTCACTGCCTCTGGAAAATCTAATTCTTCTCAACCCCTCAAAAGCATCAGTTGAAGGGAGATTGCTGAATAAATCATTTTCCCAGTGAGTCCTGACCTTTGTGATCCTTGTGTTTGGCACTTTTCAGCAGCAGCCATCACCACTACTGAGAAAAGGACTGGGCAATTAAACAAGAATCTGTAGTTTCTGGGAGAGCCTGCTGGCAGCTGGGCTGGATGGTGAAGAAGCCAGTTATATGGACCAAGAAGAGAGAGAGAGAGAAATTACAGGGTCTTGTACCAGTTCAGTGCATTTTTCCAGTGGGATCCTAAGATGCTGCTTAGGAGGTCTAGTACAACTCAGAACTATCCTTCTGGTCATCAGACACAAGAAGTTGTCCACTCAGAGCTGGGGAGACATCTTTTGTCATGGACAGGTCTCCCTGGCTAAGAAATGCCCGAGGAACGAGATGGTATGTCGGGTCTGCTTTTAACACCAGGTCATTACAGAATCACAGAAGGTTGAGGCTGGTCATCTGCTCAAGCAGGGCCACCCAGAGCCGGTTGCCCAGGACCGTGTCCAGACAGCTTCTGAGTATCTCCAAGGATGGAGACTCCATAACCTCCCTGGGCAGCCTGTGCCAGCGCTCGGTCACCCTCACACTGAAAAGTGTTTCCTGATGTTCAGAGGGACCCTCCTGTGGTCCAGTTCGTGCCCATGGCCTCTGGTCCTGGCACCAGGCACCGCTGGAAGAGCCTGGCTCTGTCCTCTTGGCACCCTCCCTGTAGGTATTTGTAGAGACGGATTCAATACCCCCGAGCCCGCTCCAGGCTGAGCAGTCCCAGCTCCCTCGGCCTCTCCTCACAGCAGAGATGCTCCAGTCCCCAAATCAGATTTCGTTATTCTGGTGGTCTTTGGGTCCCATGCAGAGAGGGTGTGTTCATATGGGTAGCGCAGAGGATTAAGGCCATGGAGCCTCTGCTTCTCACCGTGTACTTGAGAAATGGGGTGTCTTCTGACACAGCAGAGCACTTCTGTGCTCTGCTTTTGCCTTTTTGTTGTCATCTGATCTCAAGATTGCACAGATTTTTACCACAACCTTTTCAGAAGGACCTCAGATTGGGATCCTGGTTTGAGAAGACACTTTCACAACCATTTTCGGAAACTATTTCGATAGAAAAACAGCAGTCGGATGGAAGAGCTTGGTATCCATCAGTGCTCCTGGAGACAGGGTGGAGAGTGACAGATCCAGGATGACGGGGACAGACACTGCTAGGCTTTCAGTTTTATTTCGCTGTGAGTATCTAGAGCCAACCCTGACTGGATTTAGGCTTGAATTGCAGATAGCACTTTTCTTCTTTGGGCAAAACCCATATGGTGGGTGGGCTCGCATGTAATAAATGAGCCTTGCTTGAAAGACATGCCTACAAGCTGGTCTTCTGTGTCCTCCTGGGTGATCTGACGGACACATCAGGAGTCTCCTCATGATGTGGAAATTGCCTGTGTAAAAACTCTTGGTAAGGCAGGTCCCAGAGAAACAAAACATCTTGGGAGTTAAAATGAACAGTGTGAAAAATAAAAATAAATCAACCAGAAAACGAAGTGCAGAAACACAGTTTGTTGCAGCAGGGTCAGAAAATCCCCCTCTTCCCCCAGGCAGCGGGGAGGAGCTGACGGCACAGGGTGGGCTCTGCTCTCCCACCGAAGAAGAGGGCTGGTGCGGGCGAGGAGCTGGGACGGACCTGTTGATACAGCCAGGGCAAAACCCCAGCCCTCCTCTCTCATCTCATCTCATCTCATCTCATCT